TCTCATCGGACTCCCAGATGATGACGGGAACGTCGAAGCCGATCTCTTTCGCGGACGGGGCGACTATCGAACCTCCCTTCACCGGGAGCAAACCTTCCCCTTGTAGCGAACCGACATGGGTCACCCGACCCCCCGGTAAGGGTTGCGACCTCGTAAACGAAAAGTTTCCTCTTTCCCTGGCCCTCGTCGGGCCGAAAATCGTCTCCGGCGGTGTCCGAAGAATGCGGACCAGCGGGTACAGAGGCGGAAGGGTGTACAGGTGCGCGGACGAGCACATAGGTACACGACGGCCAGGGCGAGGCAAGGTAAACGCGCGGACGGTGGGTACTTACTGGCGGGATGTCAAAGCAGCCCTCCCGGGAGAGAGCGGGACGACGGGAGATCGAAAGGGTGGCGAGGGAGAGAGAGAGAGCTCTCCACCCCCTCTTCCACCCCGGCGAAGCTCGATCTATTTAATTCTCCACCTCCGACTCGGCTTCCGATCTCCGATCCCCTTGCCCCTTGCGCACCCCTCCGGACGAGACGTATCGGGCGTCCCGTTTTCGAGGGTGGCCCCGACCACCGACTTTTGACATCCTCGGTCGAAAGGTTCATCCCCTTGACGTCCCCGGATCCAGGGATGAATACGCGGACGAGCGTCCTCTCGAGGGAGACCTCCTGGCCACCGGACATCGCATTTTCCAGGCCCCGAGAGTTTTTATCTCGGCCCACTCTCGAACCGGAAGATCCCTTTTAACGTCCGCTTCCAAGATGGAAGCGGAAGCGTCGCCGTCGGGCGATTCCGAACCGGACCGACGCCGCAAAACCGTCGCGGGGGGAACTTAATTCCGCGCGGGATAAAAACCAGGCCCGGCGCCTCCACCTCCTTCTGAAATTCCCGCCGCCGAGCTCGCATCAGAGTGCTCGCATTATCCTCGAAATTGTCCCGACGCCCCGCGTCTCCGCCCTCGGGTCGCGGTCCCGGGTCGAAAGAATGTAATTACCGGGCCTGGATCAAAGTCCCGGGAATGGGACATGGAATTTAAATATCGACGGGAAGAATTCCCCGTTTGATGGCGCGAAAGAGCCCGCTCTCGTTTCGGGGCGTCTCGGTCAAAGATCGACGCTCTCTCTCCCTCCCGCGTCCCCCGCCTCGGCCCTCTCTCTCGCGTCGTCGCCTCGTCTCCAGGGACGCCAGCGAGAGGAGAAAAATAGGGAAGAAACAAAGGAGGCGACCCCGTCGGGACACCTTTCGTCGCCGTTCCGCGCCCCGGTCCCCGGGTCGAGGTGCGGAACGCAGGGAAATCCTTTGCGGCTCTCCGCTTCGTCCTCGCGTTTCCGCGGAACCGACGCCGCCAAGATATCGCCGCAGTCTCTGTACTCACCTTATCATACAGCCATGACCTACGGGACAATTAAGCTCCTCGGGTGATGGCGACGAAACGCGTCGTTCTCCCTCCCGGATCCTCCGCGTCCAGGGACTCTTCAGCGGAATCGACGGACGCCTTCCGTCGCCGGTCCGGCTAATCTTCGATTCCGCGTCTGAAATTCGGACAAAGGTCTTTAAGGAGCGAAAGTACACGGATTTTGAATAATTTAGTCAAAGGAGGAAACCACGGCCGACCGCCGTCCTTCCGCGCGTTCCTCACCGTTCACGAAATTCTTCCTTGCGGCTTATCAGAACGGCTTATCCGAGGCAACTGCCGGTCCGTCGGCTTGGCCGTCTTTGTTTTCCAGCCTCCCGGACAAAGGACGCGGCAAAACAACGCGGACCGAATAGTTGAAATTGCTGGATTTGTTTGTATATCGCACCAGCGGCCTGCGCACGGTTGTAAACAAACCTAGCGGCCTCGACCACTTTGTCCGTCGGCTTATCACGGTCTCCGTAGTCCGTTCCGCGTCTCCGCCTTGGAAGGCGATCGTTATCCTGGCTCCCGGGATGCCGGGAAATCGGAAAACCGGGCTCTCGTCGAAGTTCCGCGATAAACCGATACCGCAACCGCTGCGGATAAGGAACGCGCAAGAGCTCGGGGTAATTCCCGATAAGATACGAGTGGAGGGCACGCGGCATAAACGTATATCATAGGTGAGCGCGGGGCGGCGCCGCGGCGTATTCCGGCCATAGGTACGCGGATTCGCCCGGGCGGGAACGCATCCGCGGACCGGAGGCGCGACCAACGTCCGCATTCGAAACAAACGCCCGCCACCCCCGGGGCCGCCCCCGTGCCGAGGGATTTCACGCTGTTTCGCTAACTTTCCGAACGGGACGAGGAAGAAACTTTCCCGCAGCGGCGGCGGCGGGATCTCGTAAACGGTTTGGTCAATGAATAAATACAAAACGAGGCGAAACTTATCCTTACGGGCGCGAGATCCGCGGCCGCGGACCAGACGCACCCCCGGAAATAACTTTACCGCCTCCCTGCGGGAACGAGCGGCCGCCTGCGGGGAACCGAAGGAAGTTGGGATTAGGTCGCGAATTGGTGCCGCGGGTTGGTCGGGACGCTCGACGGAGACGTGCGGACGAATCGGAGCGGCTCGACTTCTTCGGAACGGTTCCGCGAGGATACCGCAGGACTCCCCATTTTTCGAGGATCCCGGGCCATGAATCCGGAGGATCCGCGTCGGCGTTCGCCTTCTACCTCGATGGTGCCACGGTAAGTAGTGCGGTGGTTCCGCGTCGATACAAACGGGCGGGGGATCGAGGTAAATCTTGGCCCCGGCACCGAGGCTCGCGATAGACGCCCCAGGCCCATAGATTACGCGGAAGGAAAACGCAGGATTCGAGCTTCCGATCGGCGGACGGCCCGGGCGGGAAAACGTCTTACTGCGGTCTTTCCGCTGAGATATCGCCGGCGGTCGAGTCAGTCTCGCGTGGTCGGCGTCTAATGGCGCCATGTGGCCGAAAAATAAGAGCGGCCGCAAAAAAGGGACACGAGGAACCGGGGGATCGTATCCCGGGCCACAGCGTCTTACCCCGCCCCCGGGCTGTCTCCTGCGGGAAACCGAAACGGCCTTGCGCCATTAAACGTACTTATATGAGATACTAGCCGGTGGTCAGCCGAGCGAGTATCAATCAAGATAATAGCACAATAAATATCTACCGACCACGGCCGGGACGGAGGCTCGCGGTCAAAAGTGCACCGGCTTGCAATTTCTGCCCGATTTCCCGCCGGTCCTGCCGTCATAATTCAACCCTTATATCCGCGAAACGTAGTCCGCCGGAGTTGATTCCTAGGGCGCAGATACCGCACCCGGGAGCGGATTTTTCCTTCCGCAGCTTGGCGTCCTACGCGCCGGGACCGACGTCTAAAACTCGAATGGGTGACGCGGAGTCTCCGGAACGATGGTTGGCGACTCGATCGAGAGGAGATGCGGCACAGCGGAATACGCGACGGGGGGCGGCGTAATCCGCGATCGCGAGCGGAATTAAACCGGGCGCGCGGATTTTTCCTTCCGCAGTTTCGTCCACGCCGGGAACGACGTCTAAAACTCAAACGGACGACGCGGAGTCTCCGGAACGACAGTTGTCGACTCGATCGTGAGGAGATGCGGCACAGCGGAATACGCGACGAGGGGTGGCGTTATCGGGCGGATCGCGCGGATAGTGGCGTAATCCGCGATCGCGGGCCGAATTAACCCGGACGCGCGGATTTTTTCTTCCGCAGCTTGACATCGTCCGCGCCGGGACCGACGTCCAAAACTCGGACGGACGACGCGGAGTCTCCGGAACGACAGTTGTCGACTCGATCGTGAGGAGATGCGGCACAGCGGAATACGCGACGGGGGGCGGCGTGATCGCGCGGATAGCAGCGTAATCCGCGATCGCGGGCCGAGTTAAACCGGACGCGCGGATTTTTGCTTCCGCAGCTTGACATCGTCCGCGCCGGGACCGACGTCCAAAACTCGGACGGACGACGCGGAGTCTCCGGAACGACAGTTGTCGACTCGATCGTGAGGAGATGCGGCACAGCGGAATACGCGACGGGGGGCGGCGTGATCGCGCGGATAGCGGCGTAATCCGCGATCGCGGGCCGAACTAAGCCGGGCGCGTGTATACCTTGCTTAGCTCGGAGTGGAAACTCGAAAGCACACGGCGGGCGAGCTTAAGGGGGCGGCGGTAAGGAAGAAGGGTCGCGGGTGAAACTTGGGTGTTTAATATATAAATATGGCTCGGCTGGCGGGTAGTGCCACTAGCGGCTCCTTCACGGCGGGGGCCATAGGGCGCGTGTACATTAACTGTTCAAAACTACGGTATATAAACTTATTTTGTTCGTGCATAAAGTATAAAGCCTCGCTCGGGGGGGGGCGCGCCTCGAGCCGAGCCGAGAGGAGTGACGCGAGGCGACCCAGCCGGCGGAGCTGACTATTAAAAGTTGCAAATTGCTGCAGACACGGTGCGGGTCCCCCGCGTCCGCGTCCGAGCGGCCGTAGGGGGCCCCCACCGTTCGACGTTTTTCCGCAGGTCTCCGGGAGCCTATAGGACCGCTAAACGCCGTACGAGCGTTATTGCGCCGAGGCACGGACGGATTCCGTCCCCTCCGCGTCTCCTTCCGCGACCGGGGTTACGGGACGCGGATTATCGAGTCGGCGGATCCGCCGCGTCCTATCGGCCGGCTCGTTAATTCCCCGCATCTTCGGTCCGGTCGACCGCGGAGTAGAACACGCGGAAACGCGCCTCCGAGGGAGAGATGTCCAGGAGCGAGGTGCCCTCGAGCGACATCCTCCGGGAGGTCGACCCCCACGTCGCGGCGTTCCCACCTCTTGCGCGGATCGCCGCTCGACGACCGGGAGGACGTTCCCGCGAGGGGAGTTGGATTTCGATTCCCGGGGAAAATCCGCGGCAACGGGGCGAACCATCCCCGGGGGGGGGGGCAACGACTGGACGCGGCTTATCCATCGGAACGTCCCTTCGCCATTGGCGCCCCCCCTTTCATGGCTAATTTCGTTACATTTCGTCGCGCACCGTCCACCCCGGATGCCCGGAGAGCCCGGCTCAATTTCTCCTCTTTTTTATGTTCCAGGAGATGAAAGTCAACTGGGCCACTTCGCCGGGTAACCAGCCGAAACAAGACACGAGCAGTGAGTAACGATCTTTTGTGTACGGTCCAATTAGGGGCGCAGCTTCCGGCGATTACGTATTCACCCACCAGGAGCAACTGAAATCCGCCGATCGATGACGCGGTCCCTGGCCCCGCGCATTAAACTTCCCCCGGCGACTCGACCCTCCCGATCCCCCCTGATCGTCGATGGGGCGACGACCAGGGGGGTCGTCGCCCCATCCCACCCCCGGGGGCCCGAGTCCTGCCGGTGTTCGCACATGCGGCCGTGGGGGGACCAGGGGCTGCGCTTGAAATTCAGGGCGAGACGGGAGCAATATTTAACTCAGTCTGAAATTCCTCTTTTTATGGACTTGTAAAACCGTGACGGGCACATGGGACCCGATCCCCCGGCCCCCTCCCCCCGCGCCGCCCCATCGGGATGGCACTCCAGTTCTCCTATCTCGCCCTGGCAGCCCCTCTCGCCCGGCGAATGCAAAACTAAAACCTACCCCCCTCGCGCCCACCCTTCACCCGCTCTGTAAATATGCCCGGAAATCTACCTTACGAGATGATGCGTACCCCGACGCCGCGCGTCGCGCCGCCCGTGGGTCCTCCGGTGCACCTGAGCGTCCCGACGTCCGCAGCCCCGACCCCCCGCGGAGCCGAACTTTCGACGGCTTCCACCCCGGGGTGGATCGGGCGAGAGCCCGGGGGTGCCATAACTCCTTCCCTGCCGGGATACCCGAGGGGCGCCTTGCCACCCCCACCTCTTTTGGGGGGGATTTCGACGCCTTCTGAACCTGGGGGGCGGCTCGACGCCCTCGATTTTAATAATCCCCCTTCGACGACGATTGCTCGGGGTGGGCAGCGAGGAAACCAAGTCGGGGGTGGTTATCGGGAGCGGGATTTGATTTCACGCGGAGTGATAGGGTATCTTGATGGACGGTCGCGAGCAAGGGGTCGACCTCGGCGTCGGGACGCTCTTAGGGGCGAAAGGCGGGCTCGGGGCGCATAATCGGACACCGTTTCGCCGTTTCGCCGGCGCGTTATCGCGCGCATCCCGGAGATAATCGCGGACGGTATTTACGGGCTCTTCCGCACAAAGGGCCCCGCATGGGGGGGGGGAGGGAGGGGGCGCTCGCGTATTCCGTTTGCACGCGGGATCGCGGCGCCCGTTGCCCGTTAGACTGGCTAAGCCGGCTCGCTTTTGCCGTTTGCACGTTATCGCGGCTGTTATCGTTATTAGCGAAGTATAACGGGCGTCTCGCTCCTTTGGCCGCGGCCGCTCCGTTTGGCTCTGCCTGCGCGTCTGCCGTTCCTTTCGCTTCCGCCGCCGAAAGGGTTAATCCTTTAATGCGTTCCCCGTCTATGCCTCCGTTAATAACGCCGCGCGTTAATTACGTCGCGCCTTTCCGCGCTGAATTTAGGGGGGGGGGGGAGCGGCTCCACCCTGGGAAGATCACGTCGCGGGCCTTCGTCGGAGGCCGCGAGGTTTACTCCGCGGTAAACCGCGCGATCCATGCCGATCGTGAAACGCGACCCGCGGAAAACCGTCCCGCTTTGCGAGAGAACCGCCGCTCGGCCGCGGATACCGCGGGGCGGAAGGGACTCCAGAAACTGGCGAGATTTACGCCGGTCGTTCGAAGGAACGAGGGCGACGGGGGGCCGTGAGATTGCCGCGTCGCAAATGAGAGCGGGGGGACGCAGGTGTCGGCCGCGGAACCGCGGCGGTACCGCCGCGGAACCGTGGCGGAGTGGTCGCCGATCGGGCGGCTGGCGCATTCCGCGGCCGGCGGGCCGTGAAACGCATTCTCTTTGCGGTCCAGGCCGCAGCGGGCCGCAGTCGGACCGCAGTCGGGCCGCGGTCGGGCCGCGGCGGGGTCGCACTCGGGCCGATCGATGCCGGCGTAACAATTGGCCCCGCGAGCCGCAATCCGGCCGATCGATCCCCCGGCCGGGGGCGGCGCGCGCCGCGCCCCCGGCCCGATTAATCGGTGCGGCAATGCGAGACTCACTTACGCGGCATACACGGTAATTAATGCGAAAATAGGAGTCGATCCATAATTCCGCGGGCCGCTCGCGCCGCGTAGCTCTCGCGGAACGCGGCCGACGTCGCGAGTCCCTCCCGACGCCGGATCTTCCACCCCCCGGCGGGCGGTTACCGAAGGTGCCGGCGCGGAAGGACCGAGGACTCGAGATTTGCATTTTAACGCGGAATGGCGACCGGGGTCGAGTGGGTCGCCGGGTCGTAACCTCGCGGATTCGAGCCTCGATCGATCCGGGAACTCGACCGGCTCTCTCGCGATCGAGGAGGAACAACGCCGACGCCTAGACGAGAGGGTGGCAGGTTCGATCGAATCGACGCCTCCTCGGCCCCGTCATCCGGGTCCGCCGGGGCGGAATCCGCTCGGCCTTTGTGCGGCCCGCGGTGCCACCGCGTGCCAACCGGAACCGCGGCCGCCCGCCCACTTCCCGCGAGCGCGTTTCCCGCAGATTAGTTCGAAGAAAAATGCCTAGCCATTTTTTAAGTCGCCCTTTCAATACACGCCCCGTGCCCTCCTATTTCAGCGCCCCCCCTCCGCCCCACGCGGCGCCGGCGCTCTTTGTTGTCAATTTGCCGTGATAAATACCGGGCTTTCAGCGCCCCCACGATTTATCGAATCGGCCCCCGTTGCCGCCTACCTTGCGCTCGAATTACCGACGTGGATCGCGGGGAAGGATCCACGGGCCGGAAGACCTCCCTCGATCGGCCGAGATCGTTCCCACCGGGCGCCCCAAAAATCCCGAACGGGGGTGTCCCTTCGAAAACGGCATCCTCCACTTTCGATCTACCCCCTTGACGGCGCTCTTCTTCTAGTCCTGGACTACCTTGCGCACGAATTCCCGGCGTGGATCGCGGGGAAGGATCCAGGGGCCGGAAGACCTCCCTCGATCGGCCGAGATCGTTCCCGAATGGGGATGTCCCTTCGAGAACGATATCCTCCCCTCTCGATCTACCCCCATCGACGGCGCTCTTCTTCTAGTCCTGTTCGAAACTCTCCGCGGCTGAGAACCGCGGGGGTCCCCTGCGAGTGATAACTCAGGTGGCGGGAATAAGCCCCCAACCCCTCCTCGCCCTGGCGACCCCGCGACGACCCCGCCACCCGCGCCCCGCCGACGTGTCCTACACGGCCTCCGATTTAACGTTCTATCGTTTTACGGCACTCGTTAAAAGCGCGAATTCAAACGCGGCCGGCTAGAGCCGCGGGGGCCGCAAAGACCGTCGGGGGCGCGGAAAAATGATACGGATACCTTTCTGCGGGTCGCCACCCACCCCCGGCCACCCCGGAAGGAAATGAAAAATTATACGATCCGACTACGGTACCGGCGGTGTACCTAGGTACCGTCGCGAGACCTTTATGGGGGATATCTCGGAACGAACCTGCACCCCTTTCAACCCCCGTCGCGGTGCTTCCGTCGGTCCCGCGGTTCGGATAACGGGTGGGGCCCTGGCACTCTTGCCGTCGACGAAATCGGGGAATGTCGTCCACGGCCGGTCGATCTCCGCCGATGGACCGGAAACCTCCCCTGGTCGGATCCATCCGAGCGTCCACCCCCTCGGAGCCGCTCGCAGGGGAGGATATCCTCCGGGCGACATCGAGCGGCGCAAAGGGGTGCGAAAGTAGGTGGCGTCACGGAGGGTGGCGGTAGACCGGCGGTCGTAGACCGGCCCCTGGGGCGACCGATAAAGGAACGGCCAGCAGGCATGACAGTCGAATTACTCGCTCAGATGGGAATTAATAAAGCGGTGAATTATCGGACGGCAGGTAGGTGCAGGTACCCGGCAAGTACCCAGGGGCCGGGCACTTTGAAATGCAAAGACGGCCTTATCCGGCCGGAGGGAATTATTTTGTCGCCGCGACGCGTGCCCGCCCCCCGGAGGCCGGGGCGACCCCTTTCGGGGGCGGCCGAGGCGCGAGCAAGGAACTCGGCTACGATATGAAAAACGGAGTTTACGGGCCGCCGTAAAGATTACCCGAGGAAAGAGTGCCGCGTGCTCCGCGAGCCGGCCCTCGACCCTTTTATGCCGAGCCTACGGCCCCGCGTCCGGTCCGCGACGCGGAAAAGTTCACCCCCCCTGGCGGGTCGCTCTCCTATCGGCTCCCCTTTGTCGGGGAAGTTGCGAGACGCGGAATGGGAAACGGAGGAATCCGGAAATTCGGGCGATCGAGGCGAAACGGAAGCGGAACGGACGCGACCCGGCGGAGGGGCCGGGGGGGCGGTTAGCACCCCCTGGAGACGCTCCTCTTTTATAACTTTGCCGGCGAGCGAACGGCAGAGGGGGCGCCGGGGTAATCAGCCGCATATATTTAGTCGCTGCGGTATCGCGCGAAATTCCGGCACGGCTCCCTCGCAGGGGATATCGCGGGGGGAGGGAAGGGGCCGGTGTCGTAAAATTAAACAATCTTCGCCGGCGGACGGACCGGCGCGATCCCGTTAACGCTGAAACCGACCCTTAATAAGATCGAGCGGCCGATACCGCGCGATCTGGCCGGGACAAAAGCTTTCCGCGGGCCGCCGCGACGCCCCCGGCCTCCGCTTCGATGAAACGCTCCGAGGGCCGCTCCTTAAGGACGAATAACGCGCGTATACGAGGCCGGGCTCTAAAGCGATACGGCTTCGACGAATATTGCACACCCTGGCCGGAAACGACGAAAAGAGGACGGGAACGTTTCCGCTTGCGGGGCCGCCTCCCCTGGGCGCCGTTACGGCCCCCTGAATTAGTAGGCAGCTTTCGCCGAGCCGCGCTAAGAGGTCGTCCTACCAAATTGTAATGGAGTCCCCGTACGCGCGGTCCTTCCGGGGTCTTTTCCCCGGAAGAGGCCGCGAATCCGGACACGGTCGCACCGGGAAACTTTGGCGAGATTCTTCCCCCCGAAAAGGACGTCGGGTCGAAATCCGCGTCCGGATTCTCTCCTTCCGCGGGGATTGGGTCGCCTCCGAAGACGTCGTGCACGTCGGCTCGGACGGAAATTCGAATTCAGCCGGATGGATTCTTCC